ATGCCACCAGGCCCGGCTATTTTTATTATTTTTAGTAGAGATGGGGTTTCGCCATGTTTGCCAGGATGGTCTCGATCTCCTGACCTTGTGATTTGCCTGCCTTGGCCTCCAAAGTGCTGGGATTACAGGTGTGAGCTACCACACTCAGCCTGCATAGTATTTTTTTTTTTTAAAAAACAAAAACTTTTCAGTGTTAAAGAAAAAATATCCCAAAGTGATTGCAGTCCATAATGAAACAGTGTGCGGTAATTTGTGCTGTCTTAAAAACCCAACTTGAGATAACTCTAGGAGAAGCTCACCCCTGCATTTAAGAAAAATCCCTTTTCTCCTCTTTGTTCAAATTCCACCAAACAACCAAAGAATAACAAGACCCGGGTCACTTTTCTCAGTTCCTGGCTGTTAAGGCTCACACCATGGACTATTCCTTAGGAAACTTCACCTTCACCTTCCCTACAATTAGGAAATTGAGCCCTGATTTCTGGAAATTTGCAAAACATCCTCATACTTCCTTTATGGAGGGGCCTGAGGGCTCCTTGAATGATCAAGTGGGCAGTGTACCTGGCTGGGACTGGAATACCAGCCAGGCTGGGAAAAGGGTTCCTTTCTAAGCAAAAACACCCCAACCCCTTGTAACTGAAAGTCTAATCAGGCAAAACCTAGTAGCAGCAGGTACAATTATTAGGGCTGTACCGAAAAGGTGAAATCTCCCTGTTTAAACACAAAGCTAAAGGTGGTGAAGAGAGCTGAGTGAGTATTTGACCTCACGTGTCGTCTGAGAAGTTTGCATATTTTGGGCTGAAGCCATGTTGCAGAGAAAGAAATTTGGTCAAAGAGTAGCCTTTGGGCCGGGCGCGGTGGCTCAAGCCTGTAATCCCAGCGCTTTGGGAGGCCGAGGTGGGTGGATCACGAGGTCAAGAGATCGAGACCATCCTGGTCAACATGGTGAAACCCCGTCTCTACTAAGAATACAAAAAAAATAGCTGGGCGTGGTGGCGCATGCCTGTAATCCCAGCTACTCAGGAGGCTGAGGCAGGAGAATTGCCTGAACCCGGGAGGCGGAGGTTGCGGTGAGCCGAGATCGCGCCATTGCACTCCAGCCTGGGTAACAAGAGCGAAACTCCGTCTCAAAAAAAAAAAAAAAAAAAGAGTAGCCTTTGCTGTGTCTGGCTGGATAAAGCTGCCATTCCTGGGCAGCCTGCTTCATGGCTGCTTTAATGGAAGCTTTGCCCCCTTACACAGAGTACTTAAGGATTAATTCAGAAATTTTCAATTCGACTTCATAACTGACAAATACTTGAACAGCAGCTTCTCAAAAACCACCAATAGAGACAGACCACCCCTCAGTTGAGCATTACAGCTCCTTCTAGTCTGTGAGCTTCTTGCTGGACTTCTACAGCAGCTCATTGGTCTTGGAATAAGTGTCTACATCCAAAGAACTCTCTATACACCAAGAACCACAAGAGGTGAGCCACCCGCAGTACACAGTGCCATCTCCTATCAATGGCACTGCCCTCCTTCTGAGTGTAAGAGCCCAGATCAAGAAGACAAGGTCATTCAGTTCTGATCTAGCCAGGACACAACTGCATTGGCAAAATGCTCCCAGCCTCTCTCAGAATTGGCTTGATGGGTCTGCACAGTGAAGATGGTGAGTAGAACACCTTGTTTGGCCCACCCAGATAAATCTCCATGGTCAAGATGATCAAAACCGTCTGTCTGTAGGTAGCTCTTCATAAATGTTTTCCAAACTAGGCAGAGGTCACACAGGTGTCTGGACATGAAAGCAGAGTCATGAGATTGATGGGGTCTGTGATGCAGCTCATATTCCAGGTCGACGACCTTCACACCTCCTATGTCATACATCTGGGTCCAGGTAAAGACTTGGTGTTGGGGAGGATAAACAGTGTAATGTTGTCTTTCTTCTGCAAGAAATCCCAATTGTTTTATAGAATACAGTTTTCCAAACTCTCCATTGATGTGTTTCTTCCAACTCTCACCAAAGACCCCAAGTCTGAGGAGGGCCACAGCTTTATTCCTCTGGATGTGGACCAACTGTTCCAGCTCAGTGGTGAGGAGGGTGGCATACCTGGCTTGGGGCTATGGGAATGTCGCTCCCTGGGGAGGCTTAGGAGAAGGAGTAGAGGGTCTCTGGGTCTCCTGGCCGATCATCCTGGAGCAGAGGAGGAGCAAACTTGCCACCCAAGGATCCACGAGGCTTGCGCTGGGTGCGATGGTCAGCAGTTGGGGCAAACCGTGATACTCAGTTTAAAATTCTTTCTTGTTTTTGTGCTGTAGCTATTCACTAGTGATTGCTCATCTTCAGTAAACATCTGTTATACCCCCTATTCCTGAATTATTAGTGCCTTGCAGAATGGAGAGGAAGCCACCTTTATTAAATAATATGCCTAAAATACTTAAAGTACCAGTGGCTGCACCAGAGTATCTGCATTACGTAAATGTTAGCTAATGTTATTCTATTTGGGGAATACAGAAATCTGCCCTAGATCGAGGAAGAGCGAGGCGATAGTCGGAGGAGATCAAGGAGGGGCTGAGAGGAGTTTGGAAAGCGAAGGGACAAATAACAGTGAGAACATTTAAACTCTCATCTTCACTTCTGGCCTTCAACTTCCCTACCCAAATCCTGAGGAACACTGGGGTGTGTGCTTGGCTTCACACAGTTACTCAGATAGTTATTTCTCCTGGGATATTAAAGGAAAGGGGGACCCTAGAAGACAAAAGCCTTGTGACAATGTGGGATCTAGGCAATTAGCTCTCACAACTTGTTCAAGGGGACTCTGGACAGGTAGGGATGGAAGAATAGTGGGAAGGACAGTATAATATTCCCAGAATATCCAACTTAATATTATGCTTTTATTTGGCTAGCAACTCTTTTGTGCACCTGATACTATGTAATTTGGTACTGACTACGCTACACTATCCTCTGTGTTCTGCTAATGACAGAGATCTCTTGACAGCAGGAGGCACTGACCTGGTCTGAGTTCTCCCTTGTGCATGATTATATTTTGCAATAAAATGTTTCTGGTTTCTTCGAACAAAATAAAACACAAAGCTTTGTTTATTTTTTGCCTTGTTTACTTCAGAAAACCTACAAATTATTTTCCTTGCTTTTAATCTTTCCTAAAATCCAAAATGCTCAGCGCAGTATTAACAGACTAATTTTTCTAGAATAATGCTTTATGGTCAAGATTTGAAAATTGCTTCACTGCATTTAGTAGATTGTGTTCCAACTCAGGCTAGATACAAGCCCTGCCACAGCTTGGCTTAACCATCAGTTTTATCTCTGGATATTCATGAGTCCTTCACCTGGGTCCATCTCATCTCCTGCTAGACCAATATACCACTTTAACTCTTGTCTTTTCCCTAAACGATATTCTCTTCTCATCACTGAGCCAAAATTTACCCCACCTCCAGGTCTCAGCTGACAGCCATCTTTCCTGTGAAAATTTCCCAAGTGTTTTAATCTGATTTTTTCTCATCCAAGTTATGTTGACATTAGTAATTTGGATTCATCAATCAATTGAACCATTATTCGTTTAGCACTGACAATGTCAGGAACAGAATGCAAATTTATGATTTGATTATGTGCTCATTTATATTTCTCACTTATTATATATTTATGTATGTATCTCCAAGAAAACCTCAAGGATTTTAACCATTTTTATTTGTTTTCTCACAGAATTAGGCACAAAATTGGAATGGACTAAATTTTATCTATGATAAACTTAACTAGGATAATTAAACAGGTCATTTGTTAATTTGTCAGCTTATGATCACTAACCATATAAGTTGGGTGACTGGCCTTATATTAATAAACATTACTCTTCATTATGTCTGACCTCATTACATTTTGCATAGTGACACTTTGTTCAAAAATTTTTATTATTAATTTTCATAGCTCAAGGATCTAATCAGTAGAACAACTAAAAACAAAACCTCACCTCTACAGAGATAGCCAGTGTGTAGACTTTATTACATAGGCACATATTTTAAAAAACATAAACTGGTTTTACATAAAATTAACCACAATAGTGCAAGAGGTTACATTAAATGAGGATGGATGATGAATGATGGAAAATGCAAGGCCTGGATCAGCTGAATCATTTACTAGATCTTGGGTTCATCCATTCTGATGCATTAAAATTTATTACAGACATTACAAGAATGTAGGGTGAGGAATGCAGCTTCTCTGTCGTCGCCTGGCTAAAACACTGATTTTGATTATCTATTGAATATGGTAGCTTTCTCCAGGTTCTCTTGGCAAGTAGACATAAAGGTTAAATGAATGCTGGCTTAAGGTTAGAGGAGTTCATATCCTTCTCTTTCCTCACCCCTATACTTACTCTTACACCCAAGATTTTGCTGTTGGGACCTGACTGTACATCTGTTTTCCCAGAACTGCTCCGGTGAAATACTACTGGGGTTGCTGATCCAAAGCACATGGAGGTGCAACAGTGCTTAAGGCTTCCGTCACAGTGTGGGGCTAGACAGCATCCCCAGCTAGAACTGAGGGTTTGATCTGAGGGAGAACTCGGGAGCAAACAGGAAGAGGATGTTGGAATTCCTTACCCTGTCCAGTTGGAATCAATCCAGCACATCTGACTACCACAAGCACAACCAGAAAAGAAACTAAAATTACACACTCAAACATACCACAAGGGAGATGGTATTTTGTAACTTGTACATAGTTTTAAATTTTTTAAAATTACAATTTGCTGGCCGGGCGTGGTGGCTCAAGCCTGTAATCCCAGCACTTTGGGAGGCCGAGGCGGGTGGATCACGAGGTCAAGAGATCGAGACCATCCTGGTCAGCATGGTGAAACCCCGTCACTACTAAAAATACAAAAAATTAGCTGGGCATGGTGGCGCATGCCTGTAATCCCAGCTACTCAGGAGGCTGAGGCAGGAGAATTGCCTGAACCCAGGAGGTGGAGATTGCGGTGAGCCAAGATCGTGCCATTGCACTCCAGCCTGGGTAACAAGAGCGAAACTCCCTCTCAAAAAAAAAAAAAAAAAAAATTACAATTTGCTGTTACTAAGAGACAGTGAGATGCAGAGGGTACTGTTCCCCTCTTTCATCTGGTTTTGCCATAACTTACAAATAGTCCCAGGATGTTTACTGAGTGTCCTTCAATTTTCACAATATTTTATACAAAATGACATAAGACATATATATATACACACACACATCACCGATCATCCTAGCATCCTCAGTACTTGAAGGGCTAGACCTACTTCTGTGTCAAATAGTACCCAAATCCTAATATCCATTTTGGAGACCTGTCTGTAGCTCTTCACACTTACACCATTGTTCTCTAATGGATGATGCCAGTGGAACTTCCAAGGAAGCATTCCACCTGATCTTCACCACCCAATTTGATGCTCTTTTTAAATCTGTGTTTGGAAGGCAATTGCAAAATAGAGGATTTGGAAGGTTGGCTGTGTTTTTGTTGTCTAGGGAAATGATAAAAAAAAAAAAAAAAAAAAAAAGAGAGACATGAAAAGGAAAAAGATGGACCAGCTGATTTTTCCAATCTTCACAGTTTAAAATTATTGGTTCTTACAAACATATGAAGTCACTGAAAGGTGGCATCAATGGATATTTTGTAAAATAATCCATAACGTTAGAATTAGAAAGGACTTGAAAAAACAATTAATCTAACTTCCTCACTTTTTGTTTCAGGAAACTGAAGCCCAATTGGGAAAATAGCAAGTTACTTAACATAGTGATTGTCTCCATGGCTATGTTCTTTAAAGACTCATAGAAACCCCAATTTTCCCTTAAATCCATCCATTATGGCACGCCTATAAGCAACTTTATATAAACAATCCTCAATGTTCTCATGTCTAGCCTTTCCTCCCTTTAGGGAAGCTGACTGCTAACATAGCACCTGACCAGAGTAGACACTTGATAAATATTTGTTGAGTTTAATTAATTCTGCCATCTATCCCTTTTTACTATGCAATCTTTATTTTTCCTAGAGCTTCCTACTTTTAACTTTTAGAGATGGCTTCTAGTTAAAGTATTTTGAGACTTGGTACCCAATGCTGATCTGTCATCTCTCTGTAATTTACTTTTTCATATTGGAATTCTTTTTTTTTGGTCTGTTTTCTTATAGCTTTTGTTACCTCCAATTATCCTTTGCCTCTCTCTCCAGGCACTACCAAACTCATTACTATGGATAGTTTCTGCCTTTACAGGCTTAGCATTGCCAAGTTGAGAGAAGCATTTTTTTTTTCAATTCTCAAAACAAAGAAAAAGACGTTCTCCAGCAGATTTGCTAAGGCACACTAGAAGAAATTTTAAAATCTCACATTCTTGTTTTAGTTAATACATGGGAGACTATGATAACACATACATTTGTTTTCTACATTTGTGGTTGCCTTATACATCTCCTTCACGTTTAATTCCTTAAATACATAAATATGAGTCATGATATCTAAAGCCAGTCTCAAAAAAAGATAAGAAATGGTGATTCATGGAATTAGCATTTAAAAAAACTGGTAATGTTTAAAAATCATCTTTAGAAACTTGGCGAGAATCCCCTAATTTTATGTGAAGAGTTGACATGGTTTGAATGGCACTTGGTAGTGAAGTATTCGAGACAATGCATTTACCAAATACTTTTTTTCTTTTTTTATTAGAGAGTGGGTTTCACCATATTGGGCAGGCTGTTCTCAAACTCCTGACCTCAGGTGATCCATCTAACTTGGCCTCCCAAAGTGCTGGGATTACAGGCGTGAGCCAAGGTGCCCAGCTCCAAATGATATTTTTCTGTGGATGTGATTTTTCCTTAGCTTTGTTTGAAATTCCTTTTAAATTGCATTCTTAAGCCTAGCTTGTCCAACCCATGGCCCATGATGGCTTTGAATGTGGTCTAACACAAATTTGTAAACTTCTTAAAACATGCTATTTTGGCCAGGTGTGGTGGCTCACCTGAGGTCAGGCATTCAAGACCAGCTGGCCAACACAGTGAAATTCCATCTCTACTAAAAATACAAAAAATTAGCCAGGCATGGTTGTGCACGCCTGTAGTCCCAGCTACTCAGGAGGCTGAGGCAGAAGAGTCACTTGAACCCGGGAGGTCGAGGTTGCAGTGAGCCGAGATTGTGCCACTGCATTCCAGCCTGGGTGACAGAGTGAAACTCTGTCTCAAAAAAAAAAAAAAAAAAAAAAAAGAAAAAGAAAAAAATATATATATGCGCTATTTTTGGGCCATTTTTTAAAAGTTCATCAGCTGTCGTTAGTGTTAGTATATTTTATGTATGGCCAAGAAAATTCTTCTTCTTCCTATGTGGCCCAGGGAAGCCAAAAGATTGGACATTACAGACCCAAGGTGTAGATATGCTGGAATTAACATGTAATACTCGTTTTTAGATGAGTTAAAGTTACCATTCCAACTGGGAGAATTTCTATAAGTAGGCTGGATCGCAATGATTCCTACTTAAATGAATTTAATATTCCCCAGGCTTTTAAGAAAAAAATTCAGCTCATTCTGTTTTCCCACTACTAAACTTATTATAAAATATACATCACCTCTGAAATAATGATTTTATCTTAAAAATTTCGACCTTACTATCTCAGATGTCCATCTCACTGTGGTGACAAAATAAATGCCCAGCAACAGTCAGCAGTTAATGCTGGGAAGAGCGAAGACCTTGTGTGCATCAAGACTGGCTGTGCACTCTATCAAATGCTTTCTTTTCCTACTGACCATTGAAATGGGCAAGGCTCAGGCTCATAGATCTGTTTGACTTGCAGGAACAAAGCAATCAATAATCTGGACTATGGACAGCATCTTTGCTCCTATGCTTTTGGGCACAAAAATGTTTTTCAATGTGAATGAGGTGCACTGTAGTTCAAAGTCAGCAGCATATTAAGTGCCTAAGTGCTGACAGGTTTTATGAGTTGACTGTGGAGGCAAGAATAAAAGGAAAGCAAAATTATTTAAGTCCTTCAGGGAATAAAAGCATGCTTGCTGGCTTTACTGTGAGTATCTGATGGTAAGTAAGGGTTAAGTAGCCTTAGAGTCTCAGGGTCAGTATTCTTTCAGCAAACATTTGTTGAATACATAATCATTTTCCTTTATTTCACGAGTATATGTTTGCCCTACTGGCAAGCATTTAAGGTGGCTGAACCATGCTATATTCCAAGCTTTGTGGTAAGTGTTGGAAACATAAAAAAATTACATATATTCCTTGCTTTCATGGATCCCATTTCTCAGAAATATAAGTTTCTAGGGAAATAAACTCTTATTACCAGTCACTGAATTTGAATAGAAATTAGTCTCATTTCAAATAAAAAATATTTTAAATAAAATAGTGTTCTCAGGAATTATGAACCCTGCCAATAGGCTGGAAAGCATAGTTAAAGGAAGAACTAAATAGAAAAAACAAAACTGTCCAGATAATATTTAATATGAATGAAATATAAACTTTTCATAAGGAATAACTAGTACTATGTCTGCAAGAGCAGGCCAGGGGATCTAATGGTCTCCCCACAAAGTGACTCACTGTCTTGTCTGACATGTCGTAATGAATACATTTCTTATCTTTTTGCTGCAAAGTCAAAAAGCAGGCCCTAGACTGAAAAGAAAGCACAGGTCTTGATGCCACATGATATCTAATTTATGTTCTAATAGTAATTCTATATATTGGTAAAATGAATTCATTTTTAATATTTTCACATTATTGATAACAAAGATTATTTGTGACCACACAAAAAAAATTAAAATTAAAATTAAAGTCCAGGTCCAGGGTGGCAAACGTAAAATCTGTGCATCCACAGGTGATTTGCCCAACTGTGTTTTCTACAGAAGTTATTTAAACCTAGTAAAACACTCATTATGTCTAAAAATATATAATATAGTATTATATTCCCCAAGCCCCTATATGCTACCCATAATCAGTTTCCTAAAAACAGTAGAGGGAAAACAAATTTGATGAAATTAAGATGTTAGATTTTTTAAAATTAATAATAATTTGCAGGTCCAGAGCAGTGGCTCACATCTGTAATCCCAAAACTTTGGGAAGCCGAGGCAGGTGGATCACCTGAGGTCAGGCATTCAAGACCAGCCTGGCCAACGTGATGAAACCCCATTTCTACTAAAAATAAAAAAATTAGTGGTGCATGGTGGTAGGAGTCTGTAATACCAGCTACTTGAGAGGCTAAGGCAGGAGAACTGCCTGAACCCAGGAGGCAGAGGTTGCAGTGAGCCAACCTCATGCCATTGCACTTCACCCTGGGCAACAAGAGCAAAACTCCATCTCAAAATAATAATAATATAATATAATAATAATGTGCTTGCAGAATATAGATAGCATAGAAAGGATTTTTCCCAACTCTTGGTTAAAAAAAAAAAAAATAGTCCAGGTGCATGTATGCAGCCAATGAGAATTAACCATGGGGGTACAAAAAAGCTCCAACAAGCAAACCACATGCGATGCTAGCAGATGAGGCAGAGATCTTAACACAGTGCTAAGCCAGAGTGACTAAGGAAGGTTCTGGGATGAACTTCATTCCCCTTGCCAACTCTCCAATCCATTTAGATATTCTATGAGGAATCAATCTCAAAAGCATTTAGTACAACAGGGGAAGAGATATGCGTTGAAATCCCTTGACAGAAACTTCAAAGGAATTCCACTGTATTTTAAAGAGCATGAAAAACCATTTATGAAGAAAAAGACAACTGAAGGTAGATGTCTTATTACTATTGAGACTAAACTTGTATTTAGAAGGAATCTTGGTAGACAGATAGACCAAATCCAATGTAAGATTCCCTTTCATGGCCTGTGGGATAGGTGGTTATTTTAATGATTGAGCATTCACAGGAACTGGGAATTTTACTAACTTGAGTCTATTGTTCTTTACAACAACTCTTACTAGAAAATTCTTCCTTATATTGAAGCAAGCACTTGTCATCTGTAAAGTTCCACTTTGTTCTCATTTTTGCCCTTTGAAGTTACACAGAATAATCTAATTCCTCTTCCTTTTTACAGCTCAACAGAAATTTTGAGGCAGCTATTATATCATTCCCTTCCTGTCTGCACTCCCTTTCCAGCTATACCTTCTGTTCCTTCAGGGAAGCTATTCCCTTGTTCTTGTATAATCAGACCCTTTACAAGCCTGGTCACCTGCCTGTGGACACAATCAACTTATTAATGTCTCTCTTAAACTATGATACCCATAAATGAACCCAGCACTCCATTTAGATGTAGACTAGATGGAGGATTAATAAAAGCATGCAAAGCTTTTATTAACGCCAGCTGAACACATTAGCTTTGTGAATAGCCATGATATATTTCTGATATATTTCATGATATATTCAAAATTGAACCTCCATTTCTGTAAGGAAATATTTCTCTATAAACTACTGTGACACCAGAGCTTCCTAAACCCTTCCCAAGGACACCACACACATAAACACACATCTACAAACACACACTAAAGGGTTGCATTTAAAAAAAAAACCCAATATAGGATTTCTCATTAATGCCTATTTAATCTTATCCTTTTAGTTTCAGTTTTATGTTTAGATATTTCAAAATATTGTAACTGTTTCTATATCCCAGTGTCAATACATACTTAGAATCCAATGATTGTTCATTGAATCCATTGATCTTGAATCCATCAGCCAAAACCTGGAGATGTTGTTCATTTCTGCATCATCTACAAATTTGATAAAGTGTGCCTTCTGTCCCCCGACTCTAGTCTTCATGGGAGAGACACCAAGATACAAATAAGAAACAGGTGATTAGGAACAGATGAAGAAAAAGAAGATTGAGTGTTCCAGAAACAGATGAAGAAAAAGAAGACAAAGTGAGTGTCCTGACACCTGGAATCAGGATTTAATGTTCCCAACATTAGAAAAATATGGCTTTTCCCGTCTCTACCCTAGAGATGCTTTTTCAATCCATTACAATACTGCGATTATTATCAAAATCTAAATTTTGGGGGAAAGCTCATTCAAGCTTAATTTTAAAACAGCTTTAAAAATTATCTCTGCAGCTTAAATTTCCTGTAAAGTTTGGGTTAAAGGGACATGTAACTGTCTATTGGTCATGAGGTATAACAAGAACTCCCAAATGCCCCTTACAAATGCCTGAGGTATTATATATATTTGCTTCAGGAATCAGAAGTGGAATATTTTTCAGTGTGAATTTGGGAATTCACTGAGATTGAATCTACCTCTTGAACTGAACATCATCTTACATTTAATGTCTCTTTTCTCCAGAGAGAAGAAAACTAAGCTTAATTTTGCCTTCCCTTCAACAGCCATTTTACAGAATGTGGGTCCATTCACAGAATTAAAAAGTCTCCTATTGTGCCTTTTCCCATTGTCTATTGTGACTCAGGATAGCAAATCTTGTGACTGAAACCTTAGAGAGATGGAAAAAGTGTTCTAATATAAACAATCCAGAGCCAGGAGGAAATGTCCTGGAAACTTCTGTTGCACAGTGTTAACATTTAAAGAACGGAGACACCTCCAAAAGGTCTAGTAAGACCCAAAGAGGAAATTTGTTTTGCACCTTTTCTGAACCTTTTCTATAGAGAGTGAAAGAGATGACTCTTAATTAACTTCTCAAGACTGCCTTTTCCAGAAACTTAAGTGAGTGACAGATGAACATCAGAAGGGAATCGTGTCATCACTGATGTGGGAGGTTCTTTTCCTGACAGTAACAGTCACAACAAACCACATACTAGTGCTGCGAGATTAGCAGAGACAAGGTAAGGAGGCTTAATAATATAGTAAGCTCCAACAGTCAGGTGAACCACATGCTTCAGGCATGACCAGAATCAAAGAGCCTCTCTAAAAGCCACCATTCTCAGGGTTTCCTGGTAAAATACAAGTAACTGCAAACAGGAAGATCTGGTACACTGTTCCCAACATGGAGTGGCCACAGCAGGTATTGACTTAAACTTCAGCTACTCAGGAAGACACCTTATCATGACTCTGGGATCAGGATTCCTTGCCGCAAGGCTTTGTCACTGCACTCCACACTCCTTGGGATTTTCCATTTCATCTCCTTCAAAGTCTGGCTTCAAACTCTTTTTTTGCTCAATTTCCACCTGCCAAGAATAGAAGCTGGAGATAAATATCAAAAAGAAGAGAAAAACATGCAAATAAAGAAATAAACCAACACTCCAAAGGTACTTTGAGATTTCTTGTAATTTTGCTAGTTTTGGGCTTTAGCCACATTGGAGCTACTGGCCCCGAGTGTATGTCTCTCTCTTTGCACATGTACTTTGATTGGTCTGTAATTCCCTCTTCCTCATGGTCCACCTGGACAGTTCTTATTCTTTGCCTTGTACATTTGGTCAAAGGTCACCCCTTCTGTGAAGTTATTTTTGACTTATTAAGTAGTCTTACGTACTTCTCCCTGTGAGTATTTCCACCGTACCTTGCACACTTGTCTGGCTCCACTATACCATGGGCTCCATAAGACAGGGGCAGGATCTTGTTCAATATTGTATGCAATAATTTAGGAGTACAGTGGGCAATTGACAGAGACTTACCAAATGAATTAAATCCTTCGTAATTGACTGTTTTACCTCTCCAATACTTCTTTTTTTTGAGACGGGGTCTCACTCTGTCACCCAGACTGGAGTGCAGTGGCGCAATCTTAGCTCACAGCTCACTGAAACCTCCACCTCCCAGGCTCAAGTGATTCCCCTGCCTTGGCCTCCAGAGTAGCTGGGATTACAGGCATGTACCACCATGCCTGGCTATTTTTGTATTTTTAGTAGATACAGGGTTTCATCATGTTGACCAGGCTGGTCTTGAATTCCTAACTTCAAATGATGCACCTGCCTCAGCCTCCCAAAGGTCTGGGATTACAAGCATGAGCCACGGCACCTGACTACCTTCAATACTATCCCTCTAGAAGACCTCCAAACTGATAAATATGGGAGTGTTTACAGTTTTACCATATCTTCTCCAAAGTACAGTAGCTGTAATTATCAAGAAATTAATAGATTCATCTTTGAAAGTAACATATCTCAACCAAAATCTTTGATAGCTCAGGCAAGGAATTCTTTGAGTTCAGGGTTAAGATTGCTCCTCTCAGCACCACTTTGGATATTTATGATGCTTGACGTATAGGGTAATGATTCCACACACAACAGTCAGGTTTGAGGGAAGTGCTATTTTTTTCCAAGCCACAAGATGGAGTGTTTGTTCTTTTTGGTAGTTAAATGTTTTGGCCCACACAACTAAGGAAACACTTAGAGGAACAATAAATCACTATGTAATTCCAAGGATATTATTATAAATAGAAAACCACTTTGCAATATCCTTTTTTAATAAACTCCCTTTTCAGTCGTTGGCACTCTTCTGGAAAGTATCACTTTCTATTCATGTCAGAAAACTCTAACTTTCATGATTCTTCCACAGCCCAGACCCCCGTTGCTATTATAAACGTTTACTCGTTTGCTTGGCGTTTGACTTTTGTCCTGTTACAGGCTGGTACCCAGGTCATGTGTGTCCTAACTTTGTTCAGGTCCACTTCATCAATTCTAAATGAAACATACGCTGTGATACAGCACTTTCTCCCCTCCACTTCCAAGCTCACTACTCTGTGACATAAATTACATTGCAAATGAATGATAATAACTCCTTTACCCCATTGCTCTTTTTCTTTTTTTGAGACAGAGTCTTGCTCTGTCACTCAGGCTGGAGTACAGTGGTGCAATCACGGCTCACTGCAGGCTTAACCTCCCGGACACAAATGATTCTTCTGCTTCAGTCTCCTGAGTAGCTGGGCCTATACGCACATGCCCCCATGCCCAGCTAATTTTTGTACTTACAGAGATAGGGTTTCGCCATGTTGGCCAGGCTGGTCTTGAACTCCTGAACTCAAGTAATCAGCCCACCTCTGCCTCCAAAACTGCTGGGATTACAGGTGTGAGCCACTGTGCCTTGCCCCCATTATTCTTTTTGTTGTCATTGCTCCTAACGACAGAAAGACATTATATTTTGCTCTTTGATGAGCCCCTTTTTTTTCCGACCTTTCTCTCATCCACTAGCCAGATGATGGATTTAAATCAGAGCAGATGCATCCACAGCTATGTAATATGGTGAACTTCCCCTAAGGCAGTAAGAGGTTACCAGGCAAACATACTAAACATTGCTAAAAGGAGTAAGAAGGGGAGGGTAGTGGGGTGAACAAATGGACTTGGAAGCATTAGCCAGACACCTCCTAAGGCTACCTGGTAGCTGTAGTGTGCAGAATAATTGACCCACTTCCTGACGTCAGTCTTGTCTTCCACGGAGATAGATCTCACAGTGGCTTTGGAGGCAGAAGTTGTGGGCATGTTGAACTCGACATTCACGTGACTGGCAAATCTGGAAGGCACTTCCCGGTCAGAGCCAAGTTCAAGGTGGCAAAAGAAACAGTGTGGGTGACCAGAAGCTATGAAAGAAAGACAATCGAGAGATCAGATTATCTGGGGAGAAAGTGGAAGCAGCAGCCAAAGGAGTCAGCTCAGTAATAAAGGAGGCCTGTGGGCTCAGCACCTGCAGTCTTTCAGAGGGTCCAGTGTGGAGCAAGAGGATCTGCCTCGGTCCCTTGATAGAACTCCATCAGATTCTAGCAGCCTGGTCTCCTAGCAACAAAACCAAGGCCTGAGAAACAGGGGCCATTCTGCCTGCTCAGGTGAGAGTGAACACAGCCTAAACATGAAGAAATAAGGGCCGAGGATGGGAAGAATGGAATAGAAGGCCTCAGCACTTAGCACCTAATACAATATCAGTGACAGCTTCCTGAAGTAAAATCATTGCTTTCCTTTGAAGAATGGATTGACTTTCTTAATAGCATTTCATACTTTCAAACTGCTTTTGGCATACTTTTCTGGGTGAATGATATATGTAAATGACAAAGACTTCATAAATAGCACACAGATACTAGGGAGGCATATGGAACACTGGGCAAAACACCGACCAGCAGAACACCTGGGCTGGACTTCCAGCTCCTCTACTGAGCAGCAGAGCTCCTCCCCTCAAGTCCTTTATACCCGCCAGGCCTCAACTCCTCCTCTGTGAAGTGTGGAGATTAGGGTACGGGGAAGAAGGAGGGAGAAGTGCAACAGGGTGAGCTGGACAATGCCAGGCACAGTCCCTTGCTGCTCCTTAATTCTATACATCTGTGGGTAATTCCACGATACTCATGATGGCAAACTTAGGGTTTGATTTTCACTTGAGAATTGTTATTGAGATTTTTGAGGAAAAAGATCGAGAGCTTAGTTCTGTGACTGTAATCACTGAAATATCGTTGTCATGCATCTGCCATACAGGAAACATTTAAGCACCCTATGCCTCCTTCTCTGTTAAATTTTTTACACAGAGTCTCTCTTCGAGTCTTCATTATGATCCTTTGAGGTCAGAATGTGGTCTTCATTTTACAGTCGAGGAAGCTAAGGCTTAGGGAGGTAAAATGAGCTACCCACGTTCACAGCTAGAAAGTGGCAGAGCTAAAAACTGAACCTAACGGTCTGATCCCAGAGTGTTCTTAACCACTGTATCTTAGTCATAACCTCATGGTCCCTAAAACGCAAGATCAAGTTTGCAGAGTGACAGGGGTAGAGTGGGATTGAGCTATAAGAACCCCCACATAGCAACTAGCTATAGGTAAACAACACGAAATGACTTTGCCTTCAGTATGTAACTGAAACAGTCCCTTAGTTATCCTAGTTTCCACAAACAAACAATTCCAATGTTCTTTACTGGTCTGGCCAGGACTTCTCAATCTCAGAGAGTGAGGACACACACACCCGCTCTCCAAGGAAAACATTAGATAGTGAAGTATTTGTTTTGCTCTGTTTCACAAACGTAACATATTTCAGTGGTTATTTCTAAAGAGTAATGCTTTGGAAAATTGAAAAATCTGCACTGATTTTAGGAAAAGAATTTAAATAAGATACACATAATAGGAAAAATTAAAGTATTTGAAAATAAATCCATTCAATGTTTTTAAATTGTGTGCCGCAGATGTAATTTACAAACTATCATTTATGGGGCATTTATTACAGGCCAGATATTGCGCTAAGCCCTTAAAAGCATTATCTCATTTCATTCTCAATGAACTAGCTATTAATAACCCCATTTTATAGATAAGAAAAATTAGGTTTCTCTGAGAGGGTTAAGTAAATTGCTTGAGGTTACACAGCCATTAAATGGTAGAGCCGGAAATAAGATTCAGAGATGACTCTGCCTTCAAACTATGTCCTAAATTCTCCTCAGTATATTACTGTGAAATAAGATCAAAACAAAGTATAAAGAAGCATCTTTTAATTTAATAGCAACTCGGACAACTCTTTTAATCTAACTACCCTTATTTTGCACATTTTGGAATACGGAGAAATTTTTCCTTTCTGCATGATTGATTTCCTCCTTTTACTCCACCAAAGTGTATTCACAGCAAATTCTGAAAGCAGCATTTTTTCCTAGAATCCTAGCATCAACTCTCAGATGTGTAGGGGTGGTGGACAGTTAAGGAAGTTCAATTCTGAAAGCTATTATAGTTGAATTCATAGTAATGTGCTAAATAAGTCCACACATTCTGTCATTTTCCTTGATGAGGTTGAGAAAATTCAACAAAAAAATTCAGATTTTTAAAATTTCTTATACAACGATGATCATATTGGCACTGTTTTCCCTTCACCTGGTCTAATGAGGAGGGGGAATTCCTGCAATGGAAGCCATTTATGCAGGACAGAATGTTTTATTTCCTGGCGGATAATCTGTGGAAGCAGCGGGACTTGTTTTGGTACCTTCTAAGATTAAGAAAACTCCTGGGATGAGGGTGGGAGGCGTCCTTGGGGAGCTCAGAGAGGGGAGCTGCTGTCCTATATGGCTGGGCTGGACCCCACCAGTGGGGTCACGTTGGCATTCAAAGGTAGCTGCTTGAGCTTTTGGTGGCTGGGACTGGGACAGCCTGCTGTGACTATAGGTTTGGGATGCCAGCAACACAGGGGTGCAAGCTGCTGGCCTCTGCTGCCTGGGGTTTGACTGCCCTGCCCACTGGGGCCTGGGAATACAGGGCCACTGCAGGCAAGAACATGTGAGGAGAGGTAGGCTTCCAGCCAGCCGGTCCTTTGACCTCAGATGAGCTCTAGCTTCTTTAAAGAAGGTTAAGGATTATGAAAAATAACCTGTACAAAGCACTTTCCCAGGGCTCTCTGCACACCTAGACCCAAGAGCTTAGGAAAGGGCTATTACGAAATGATAACCATCAATTCTCTGGCTTCCGGAAGGAGCCCTGCAAGGGAGGGCAGGAGCTAGGCACGGTGAATACCAGCAACGCATGAGAACTTACATTCTGCCTGCGATTCAGATCCTATACATCTCAGGTTTCCAGAAAAGGGTGCTATCTATTTCCTGACCGGGCATGAAAACATATCGTTGGCCAGGGAAGTCTAAGAAGCCTCTTTCCAGGGGTTCACTATTGAAAATACTGTTATATAACTATGACAATAAAAGCAGTAATGGGGCGAGGCTGTGAGGATTTAAGTAAGAAACACCCCCAATATCCTTATGTTGTGCTATATTTAAAAAATCTTCCACAATAAGGTTCCAGCAATCGGGAAACAGATATGTAGTACAGCATATAAGCTGCATTCACTTGCCCTTGAGCCAACAGAACACTCTCTACTGAGAATCATTAAGCAAAGTGTTTGCTGAAGGCCTGTTTTTGCTTCTTCCCTTGTCCTGTGTCCATTCCCCCTCTTTTCTGGTAGCAGTCCTTTTCTTTCTCTCCTTTTGGGAAATATTCTTCCTGGTGCTACACATTGTCTTGGTCACATCAGTCAAAATGCACTCCTCTCCTCTACACTCTTGAACCAAGTTGCCAAATAACAAAAAATAGGGCCAGGTGTGCTGCCTCAGGCCTGTAATCCCAGCACTTTGGGAGTACAAGGCAGGCGGATACCTGAGGTCAGGAGTTTGAGACCAGCCTGGCCAACATGGTGACACCCTATCTCTACTAAAAATACAAAAATTTAGCTGGGTATGGTGGCACGTGCCTGTAACCCCAGCTACCCAGGAGGCTGAGGCAGGATAATTGCTTGAACCCAGGAGGTGGAAGTTGCAGTGAGCCAAGATCACGCCATTGCAGTTCAGCCCGGGTGACACAGCGAGACTGCATCTCAAAAACAAAAACAAAACAACAACAACAAAACCCAAGAAGAGAAAAGAATCTGTGATGATTTGTCCCTAAGGCTACCCAGTGAGGAGACATCCATTAGTTCCTATGACCAGAGCTATTCTCGCACTCTCTTTCTAAAGTCTTTTTGATCAGTCTTTCCCTCAGGTCTCTGAGCTATCCCATCCAATAATTTGTTTTGTTCCTTAAGGGGGCTATTAAGTCTTTGTTGCTTATAGTAAAACAAAAAACATAAAACCCTCATCCAGTACTTGTAAATGTTTGGGAGAAATCACTTTTAAACAAATAGATACATTTGTACACACTGGAAAAACTGCAAATAACTGTTTTTTCTGGTGGGACTGATTTCAATATTGGTGTCTACTTGGTTTCATCTACCAGGACGCACCGGTGGCATTGAGAAAAGGAGAAAAGGACCCTGGATGTGACTGCATGGCTCTAGATATGTCACGTCACCTTCCCAACCTTAATTTTCTCATCTATTAATAACTTGGCTAAGTTATCCCCATGTTCCCTTCCAGCTTGAAAATCCGATAATTCCATGGTTGTCTCTTCCCAAGGGCTTCCACGTCAAAGGAGAGTTCAGGGTTTCTCCCCTCCTCCGTCAAGTCAGAGGGGCCCCGTGGATAAGGTAGAAGTTTCAGTGCTACCATCAGCAGAACACAGTGCTGATTGCAGGGGAAACGAATAAGCAGGCACAGAGAGGAACACTTGGTTTAAAAAACGCTGTCAGTTTAGAAGCAGGGAGTAGCAAATCCAGCCTCACACACAGAGGTCCAATTGTCTCTTCAGTTTGCACAGCTACACCCAGTGTCTGATACAGAACGCCCTGGTGTGCGTCCACTCCCTGGAATGCCTGGGGAGCTGGCTGGATCATATTGCCGTTTGCCATCATTTGCATTACATTTAGGATATAATAATACAGCCACTCCACACTCAGAGCAGGAGAGGGAGACTCAGAATGCATCTGCTAGGATTTAGAGTGAGAATGGAAGAATGGTTACACACATAAGATAAAGCCATTTCAATCAAGTTTTTCTTTCTTTTTTTTTTTTTTGGACGGAGTTTCGCTCTTGTTACCCAGGCTGGAGTGCAATGGCGCGATCTCGGCTCACCGCAACCTCCGTCTCCTGGGTTCAAGCAATTCTCCTGCCTCAGCCTCCCGAGTAGCTGGGACTACAGGCATGCGCCACCATGCCCAGCTAATTTTTTTATTTTTAGTAGAGACGGGGTTTCACCATGTTGACCAGTATGGTCTCGATCTCTTGACCTCGTGATCCACCCGTCTCGGCCTCCCAGAGTGCTGGGATTATAGGCGTGAGCCACCGCGCCCGGCCATTCAATCAAGTTTTTCTAAACCTTACTCTTCTTGCTCAGGTAGCATATCCACTTTTGTTAACAGACGGGCAAAATGTATTCTAAAGAAAAGAAGGGATTTAAAGGCTTACAAGCTCATGGGCTTGCTGCCTACCATTGGAGACACCCAGACTTACTCTAAGAAATATGCGTATTAATGCTGGTTTAAGTGCTCCCTCATTTTGTCATTTCACTAAATCTCACTGGACCCATGGGGGAAATAACCGCCATCTGGACTCACTCAGCACAAAAGCATCCCTGATAGCTGTGAGCAGCCCAGCTAGAGCTGGTAAGCATTTTTTGTTTGTCTAAAGAAAACTTTCTTTTCTTTATATGTCGGCTGCCATTCTGGCCCTTTTAGAAATTCATATCCGGGCCGGGCGCGGTGGCTCAAGCCTGTAATCCCAGCACTTTGGGAGGCCGAGGCGGGTGGATCACGAGGTCGAGAGATCGAGACCATCCTGGTCAACATGGTGAAACCCCGTCTCTACTAAAAATACAAAAAATTAGCTGGGCATGGTGGCACATGCCTGTAATCCCAGCTACTCAGGAGGCTGAGGCAGAATTGCCTGAACCCAGGAGGCGGAGGTTGCGGTGAGCCGAGATCATGCCATTGCACTCCAGCCTGGGTAACAAGAGTGAAACTCCGTCTCAAAAAAAAAAAAAAAAAGAAATTCATATCCTAGCTGGATCTTCAGTCTGCCTGCAGGCCACTTTTCTTTCCCATCCCCCAAGTCCCAGAGCCAAACTCTGAGTTTGAGATATTATGACGGACAGGCTTTGCACAGAGGAGCTGCAGTTATAAAATTAACTTCTCAGTGTCTTGTCCATGACTGGCCATAAACTGACCCTTTTACCTACATCGAGGGCAGTGTGAGAAAGATGTCTCTTCAGAAGCCATCTAGAAATGAATCACTTCCAGCACCACTGCTAATAACGTTAATGAGTCCAAAAAGAATATAAATTCAGAAGCTGCCCTGCAAAGCTGCTTAGCAGCTCAGCTGAGAAGAATAATCCCTAGTTTTACAGAAGATGTGTGATAATGAGGGGGTGAAAAGAGTGACCTGGGCTGCTAGGCACCTTACTTACCTTGCTTAATTATTTTTACTTTTCTGGTCCCACTCCCCCTCCATCACCACTCCCATCACACAACAAAAAACAAGCAATTCATACAGGATGTGGAACTTGGATTCAGCTTTTTCACAACGTGTGCTGGTGCTTGTTTTCACAGAAGAGGAACCCCCACCAACCTGAGTTTTTGTCGGGCAGTCGGTTTATCCTCCACACAATGGAGTTGAAGGCATGCTCGTACTTGGCAGTTCCCAGAGTTACTCTCATGACAGGCTCAGAGCCAGAAACACTAGTGGAGCCAAAACTCGCCCCCCGGTTCACTTTGGCTTTCAAAGACTTTTCCCCCAGGACACTTTCCCTGCGGAAGTTTTTCACCCACTCGCTGGGCACAGGGTAACGGATCATCACATTCTCACAGGGAACCTGAGTGAGGGGGTCACGATTGGAGGAGAAGCCAGTTGACATCCTCAGCCAGCTCTGCACCTCCACCTCCGCCCCACTGACACTTGCGGCTGTCCTGAGTGTGAAAGGCAAGGTCTTCTCAGCAAACACTGTCCTGAACCGCATTAGCTCAAACCGGCATGCATCCAAAGGGTTGAACAGAATGACCCGTGAGTTGTGGAATACGTCCTCGTCCACACACCCATGGAAGCGGCACTCATGGAGCTTGATCCACTTTGTGGTGGTGGTGGGCATGATGTCCTGCCTCAAAACTATTTCATTCCCTTTGACGAGGATGTCATTGAGGCCCAGGCGGCACTCTGCGAGCCCAGACAGAAAACTCAGGATGTGGATCCGCGTCAAGACGTGGTGCTGGAGAATCTGGCCGTCTCCTTTGCTCACAATGCCAGAGAATTCATCTCTGACGTCCACTGTGATCTCCTCTTCAAGGTAGTTCAGGCCAACTGTGCTCAAGTCCATTGACAACACCGGCAGATTCATGAGACGGTCCTGAACTGCACGGATGAAGCTCAGGAAGTCATCGTAATTGGTGGTGCCCAGCTTAATCACCTGTTCCCTCTCTGCTGTGTGGGCCACAGCAGGTTTGGGCTGGTATTTCTTCTTCTCCTTATAGGTGACACGGTCTATCCGCAAGCTGTGGATTCTGCCATTCTCATCATAGTTTTGAAGCCGGGGTTCTGAAATCTCATGACACATCTCCAGCTTGAACTCACGGAATGGTTTCTCTAGGCCCTGCTCATAATATAGCTGCAGGTAACCACTGTCTGTCAGTTTGACGTAGATCGGTCCCCAGTGCCGGGAGGACATGATGTTTTTCTTCTCTGGGATCCTCAGCATCATTGGCCATCCATCCCTCGGCTGGGACCGTGCTGATCCAGGCGGGTGTGCATCTAGTTCAATCCAGGCTATGGGGTCATCATCAGGTAGAGCTGCACTGCCAAAGTGATCAGGGTCATCAATTTGGAGTTGTTTGAGCTTTTCAACAGCGTCAGTGTGTGACTGGGTTTTGCTTGAATCATCAAAACTGATGGCATCCTGATAGATGACAATGAGGGAATCTCTTTGGCTTTTGCCCTTGGTACTGGAAATGGAACTGTTTTGGGAGCGCCTTTCCTGCTCCTCAAAGAAAGCACTGAAAGGGTTGATAGGGGAGGGCTGTACATCCTGCAGAGTCTCATTCAGAAAAGGGTTGGTTGGCCTCCACGGTGGAGCCTCGGTTACAGAAGGCGGTTGGTTTAAAGAGGGAATATCCAGCTTCTGAACTTTGGAGAAGTTCATCAAAGTGCTCTTGGGACGGTCCCTCTTTTTAAATGATCCTGTTGAATTATAAGATGTATTTGGGATCACAGATGCAACTGGTGGTGTATTTGGCTTCAGAGGAGGGGTGACTGGAGGTAAAGGGCAGCTAACTTCATTGTCATCAAAGGTGACCCAGCTGGGGAAACGAGCAGAGGTCACTGGAGGGGCAGGGTGCCCATTCATGGTTGGACTGCTGGCCTGCCAGCTGATGGCCTCCATCTCTACTTCTTCATCTTCCTGGATCCAGGAGGAATTGTCTAAAAGGAAAAGGAGAACATATGAGCCACGCAGTTCAGGGGCTCTAGAGGTAAGGAAAACTGAAGTATGGGAATGAGGATTACTAGAATTTTATCTGGAATCCAGTACATTCCAAAGCAGCTGATTACCTGTTTCAACTGCTTAGTCTGGGCACAGATTTCACATTTTTATATTGAGCACACAAAGGAACCATCACATTAAGTGCAATAAGAACACAATGGCTATATCAATACAGAAGTATTGGCTGGTAGTGCCAAGGTTTCTTGCAATTTAACAATATACTCTTCCTTATTTTATAAAGCTTTTGGAATAGATGTTTTCTGTACTTAGCTCTAAGGTATGTATTCTTAATTTTTAAACATTGAAAACCATCTCCTATATAAAATGATATAAGCTCATCTCATTGGAAAAAAAAAAAAACAAGTTATCTTCTATAAGTGATAATATGATTACAAATAATATTCTTGGAGAGATTTTAGCCTAAACATAATGAATAAATGTTAAAGACATATGATTAACCTTCTTTTTTCATATATATATATATATATATATAAAATTTATTTATTTATTTATTTATTTTTGAGACGGAGTTTCACTCTTGTTACCCAGGCTGGAGTGCAATGGCTCGATCTCGGCTCACCGCAACCTCCGCCTCCTGGGTTCAGGCAATTCTCTTGCCTCAGCCTCCTGAGTAGCTGGGATTACAGGTACGCGCCACCATGCCCAGCTAATTTTTTGTATTTTTAGTAGAGACGGGGTTTCACCATGTTGACCAGGATGGTCTCAATCTGTTGACCTCGTGATCCACCCGCCTCGGCCTCCCAAAGTGCTGGGGATTACAGGCGTGAGCCACCGTGCCCGGCCTATTTTTTTTTTAAATAGAAACTGGTTTTCTCCACGTTGGTCAGGCTGGTCTCGAACTCCCGACCTCAGGTGATCCACTTGCCTCAGCCTCCCAAAGTGCTGGGATTACAGGCATGAGCCACCACACCTGGCCTAACCTTCTTAATATTCAGTAAGTTCATACATGTGAATAAGAAAAACACAAAAACCCCAATAGAAGTCTGAGCAAAGAACAAAAACAGACAACTCATTGAAAGAGAAACTAAAAAATGTCTAGTAAGTATGGGGAAAAAATCCAATCTCACTAGCAGTAAGAGAAATGAAAATTAAACAGAAAAAAATCAGTGAAGATTTGGAAAGATTTTAGTGCTCAATGAGAGTAACGGTGCCACAACAGAACACTAAGTGGACCCTTAACGAAACTGTAAGTTGCAACAGATGCTCTGAAAAGAGAGTGGGCAATTTATATTAAGGATCTTAACACATGTTCATAAACAATGACTTAGTAATTCTACCCTAATAAAATTATTAACCAAGTTTGAAGAACAGAGATGTCCATTTAGCATTATTTATAATAGGGGAAAAATGTGTTAAATTTTTAAATATTCAACAATTGGGTGACTGTTAAGAAATTGAAGCCTACAATGAAATAATATCCACCCACTAAAATGTCTACAAGTATGCAGTATCATGAGGAAATGCTCATGATATAATCTCTTTTTTTTCTAAAATTTTTTTCCATCTTGAAATTTTTTATGATAAAAAGGTTACTACAAATAAAACTCCACTATAGCAGGGCCTTCAAAGAAGGAGATATAGGACTTGGGTTTGATGAGGGAAAGATCTAACCTTCTCAGTAACCTAAAGACAATGGATATCTGCTGGGGCTGTAAGAAGGGAGGGGAAATGAAACTTTTAGCAAGGTGGAATGAATTCTGATGAAGGAACAGCACAGACAACAAACGTGTGCATATAGTAGGTACTCAATAAAGGTCTTTTTGATTAACTAAGTGAGGAAAGAAACTCTGCTTCAGAGTAGCTCTTCCATTCACTATGTCTCTGCAGGGATGTGTATGGGGATCTCTGCTACCATCTCACCCACCGTTTCTATGGCCAGTTGTTTGGAATCAAAGGGAAACAGATTCTCAAATGACTGAGTTTTTGACCACCTCACTATACCTTCATGCATGACATATTCAACCACACCAATAAGCAAGGCCGCACATAATTGCACGTGTAATTACACAAGGATAGGATGCTGGCTTGTCATCCATCTTTTCAAGTAATTTATTCAAACAGATAGCAATTCTCTCAACTGAAAACAACAGTTCAAAAATGTAGATTAGGCTGGGCACGGTGGCTCATGCCTGTAATCCCAGCACTTTGGTAGTCTGAGGGGGGTGGATCACTTTAGGTCAGGAGTTCAAGACCAGCCTGGTCAACACGGTGAAACCCCGTCTCTACTAAAAATACAAAAATGAGCCAGACATGGTGGCGCAAGCCTGGAATCCCAACTACTTGGGAGGCTGAGGCAGGAGAATCACTTGAACCTGGGAGGTGGAGGCTGCAGTGAGCCAAGATGGTGCCACTGTACTCTAACCTAGGTGACAGAGTGAGACTTCATCTCAAAAAAGAAAAAAGAAAATGTAAGGCTAAACATGAGTATGCATATACACATATCCACACCCACCCCAGAGACATAATGAGCAAAAAGCATTTTCTATATATACAGTAATAAAAAAGGATTTTAAAGCATTTTAAAATTAAAGAAGCGAATCCCCTTCAAATTAAACATAAATCCAGTTTTGTAGATGTACAAGTGATTTATTTTCTGAAAAACAAAGGGAAAACGGTCAGGAAACAACTTACACTTAAAGTATTTATATTTTATTTATCATTTGGGCAACAAAGGCTAAAAGCAACACTGTGGACCTGAGTAAAATATCATCACTTCCTTGGAATGGTAATTGATCCTGTCTAGAGTACTGGGAAAGGGGCACATCTCAAAACTCACCAATTTCTAATGAGGCAGCTCTAGACAGCCGTTGTAATAGTGTTTCCACCCAAACAATCCCTACTGGCCCACCCCCTGCATCAGGGTTATCCTTATTGTCCTGGAGCTCACTCCCTTGTTTAAAGCAAGCTGAAGTCCTTTTTCTTTGGAGGGTGGCTTTCCGCCAAAGCTGTTTACACTCGCTGCCAAAGGATCCCCTTCTGTTGGGAATCTTGTCCTCAAAATAGCCTTTCTCATCTTCTCCTAAGCCACAAATGCAAAGATAAAAAAAAGGCCTTTGTCCCTATTGAAGATCATTTTCTTAAAATAAATTCCTTTTCAAACCAACTTAGTTTAAATCATACCCAGTCCTAAACAGTTTTGAAGCATTAGAGTTATACTACAAACTAAATGAACATCTTTAAATTTGATGGGAAATGTTTGAATTCAATTAATTTCTAGCGATTCTATTTTCTTTTTGACAGCCATAAAAAAATATCAAAAGACTTTGTTACCAAATTATCTTTCCTTTGGCAGTTTCATGTCCGATAATTACATGTATTTTTAAAACCTATTCTTTGGGACAGTAGCAGGGTATAGGTAACATTTCTGAAATTGAGATTCTGTTTTTCTATAATTTATTTTTTAAACATGTAAGAATTGTAAGAAATAAATTCTAAGAGTTTATTTTAAAGAAATAACATGACAAACATGCAATGATGTATACAGTGGATGTTTATTGTAGCAATGTTTCTATGACAGAAAAAGTTGAAAAAACCTGATTGCCCAACAATGGGAGACTCTTTATATCAGTTGTAATACCCTTAAAATGAAATTTCATGTAGCTGTCAAGATGATGCTCTGGATGCATGTTAATTCCCACCTAAGGTGACTAGGACATACTGTTGAGTGAATAACAAGAAATTCCAATTAATTGAAATCAAACATTTCCCTTCAAATTTAAAGATGCTCATTTAGTTTGTATTACAACTCTAATGCTTCAAAACTGCTTAGGACTTGGTATGATTTAAACTAACTTGGTTTGGAAATAAAATCTGCAGTCCAATTGCCTGGGTTTCCATTTCATACCTGCAGCTTTTTAGACATGTGACTCTAGGCAAGTCTTAAATTTCCCTGTATCTCAGTTTTCCTGTATATTAAATTAGGGAAATATTAAATTCTATCAGACAAGCAAATGATAAATGCTCAGTAGATGTAGGCTGTTCTTACTACTACTACTGGAATGATAATGTGTCACTATAGAAAGTATGTATGTATCAGAAAGCTTTGGAATATAATCATCTCATAATATTTTGATATGAAAACAAATGTCTCATGGGATAAGGGGCGATTTACAAAATTCTAAATCTGTACTTTTTTTTTCAGAAATTGCAACACTGCTTACAAAATAAAGCAACATAGCATTATAATAAAAGTTCAAAACATATCTTCATCGTTACTACTAATTAACCTTAGAGGAAGGAAGCAAACTGCTTTGCTGTAGTCTGTATTAAGAGAGTGGCAGTTAGATCTTTTCCAAGACAATTATGACTTGTGACTGGGTTGGGAAACAGTGAAAGAGGATAAAGCTGACAAATTTCTCCAAAAAGAAGTAGGCAAAATCCAAGTATATTGAGCTCAAAGCCAATTCTTCTCCAAAATTCAATTTACTGGTTTATTAAAATAAAACCAAAACCCAAACTCCAGCATTATTTTAATTACTATCTCTTCCACTGGCTACCTCCAAAGTGTTTTTCTTTTTTTCTTTGTATTCCAGCCTGATGCTAAAGAACAAATTGTTTTTCTTATGAGTTGGGCTGCTGCCAAACAGAAGCCATGTGTAAGGATTAGGTTCTCATTCTACGGAAAATTCCCAGTACCTATGAGGTTCCTAGTCCCTTTACTGATGCAAACTAAAGAGAAGTGGTGGGTTCTTCTAACATTAGGCCACAATCTATTTCAAGTTTCTAAAAGGGTCAATTAAATAGTGATTTCAGTAGCAGTCAAAGCCACTAAAACTGAATAAAAACTAAGAACTATGGGAGGAAAATTGTCTGTATTTTGAACATAGAGACTACTGTCTTCTTTCCCCTTTGTTAACCTAATTTGTTAATGCAGTGACAAATACAAAACACTTATTGATAAATGTTCATTGGAATTTAT